TATGCACTTTTTGGCCTTTGCCTCAATAATAGCCATTTTTTACCATACATCAGGTCATTGTGAAATTCAATGTTCAGTGGAGCAGAATAGCCTTACCAAATCTGATCCAAGTCTTCATGCTATTGGCCTGCACAGGGCTCTAAATGGTAAATAGTTATAGAGGATAATGGCAGTCCCTCTTTTCACCTCTGTGCATATACCCCTCTTCACAGCCAACCCAGAAGAAAAAGGACTATAATGACCCAAAGCAGGTCAAGCAATGATACTACAGTCTTTAATATGCCATTATATTACTATTGTTGATGCAGAAACTATGGGGTTATAGATGTTTTTTTGAGGACAATAAGATGGAATTGTGAGAAGGAGACCAGAGGAATCCCAGGGTTGGGAAAGGTTCATAAGTAGTGTATGTGGAGAAAATAAGGTACATTTTTTTCTGAATGGCCGCAATAGGAATCATAACAATCTGGGAGGGGTGGCATTTTGGGTTGGATAAAATAGAATTCTGTAGGGCAGCAAGAAGAATAAGAAGACATGTGGTGGGGGTAATTTTTAATTGTATTAATATCACCACATCATGCCATTGTGCTCCTGTTGTGACTAAACTTTCTTTTACTTTTTTTTGTGTAAACTGCTTCCAAAGTAAAACGATTTGTAGTCACATCAGGAAATGCATGTCTTCATTTATTATGGCAGGTTATTGTTTGCCAAAAAGGAGTCCAATTTCTTTATGTACACAGCCAAACAGAATGGCTGGCCTTCTGGTGATCTTTAGTTATTGTGGGGAACCTAATAATGGTGAACAAATCAGTACCATGGTGTGGGATATGAACCCTGTAATTTACATCTAACATAGGAAGGAAGGCTATATAGCAGCACACACGTACACAGACAGGATCCACGTGCCCAAGCCCTTGCTTACTTTAGTTAGTCATTTACAGTAGAACTGCCTTATATTGTCATCCTTCATATTTCGACATCAAATTCTGTTCATTTAGTTTTTGTTTTAGTGCCTGTCATGTTGTCATAACTACAACTTACTTTGGTCCTCTTCCTCTTTAGATTGTAAGCTCGTTTGGGCTGGGTCCTCGTCACTTACTGTTTATGTATGTCAATGATGCTTGTCAGTGTTCTTTACTTGTCTTGTCTAAACGATTGTACAGCGCTGCGGAATATGTTGGCGCTATATAAATAATTTTAATTGTAATTTCTTTATTCTAATTTTAGAAAATTGGTTGTGATGGGATAATTGGCTCTTTTTCCAAGGAAGACCGATGTGGAGTTTGTAACGGCGATGGCAAAACCTGCAAGGTGATAAAAGGAGACTTTAACCACACCAAGGGGATGGGTGAGTAAGTAGAGTAGATACTGTGCATTGTCCTCCTGTCTCTGTACTCAGTGTGTGATGTGCGGTACACTAAAGCCTTCTACGGCAATTGTTTACAGGGAATGTGTTCCAGCTGCTGTCTAAGCAAATGATTATAACAGGGTCACTAAACTGACACCAGTAATTCTTAATCCCACAGGCATTGTCCTTGTATAAAATAATCAGAGTGTAATGAATGCCTTAATCATTTGAGCATCACAGACAGGCCAATCAACTGTTCACATTATCAAAGCATTAGACGTATCTTTTAAGATGTGTCCAATTATCTTGTAGAGTTTTGCCTTTATATTCCACCTCCGTCTGTTATCTATGGGTACCACTTCTTTGATACAACGACATTGAAACAAAATATACATTTTTATTTTAAAAAGTACCACATTTAAAATCATAAATTCTTACTTTTTTTTTTTTTTTTCTTCGAAGCACTACAAGGATCCAAGTAAAGTTAAAGTGATATTTTATTCATTACCATGTGACACCACATCACCATGTAAAGCAACACTTTTATTTTGATGCAACCCATGAAATCTGTGTACCTGTGTTGCCAGGTCCACATGTTGTGGCCATTATGAGGGGAAATCACATTCACTGTTTGACTTTTTCATTTTGTTACATACTGTAACTATGCAGCTAGAGGTAATGCATGGAATGGTAAGGTGTAGAGCTAAGCGCTCCAGCAAGGAAATCTTACTGATGAATGCTCCAGGTCAAATATCAAACCACTAAATGAGTGAACTCTCCAGAAAGTTAACTTAAAAACACATTTTAGTTTTTAATTGACAAACATGTTTAACTGCTGAATAGGATGATTTTACATCAGCATGCAGAGCTGCACATTAATGTGATTTTGAGTGAAAGGGGATAAAGGTCCGCTTTAACCACTTCAAGACCAAGTGTTTAGACCCCCTTCCTGGCCAGGCCATTTTTCAGTGTTCAGCGCTGCGGTACTTTGACATTTATTCCGTCATGCAACGCTGTACTGAAATGAATTTGATACCATTTTTTGGGGACAGATAGAGCTTTATTTTGGTGGTATTTAAACACCACTGCGGGTTTTTATTTTTTACTATAATTAGAAAAAATTACAGAATTTTTTTTTACATTATGTTAGGAAACATTTATTATTACCCAGTTTTTTGGTAAAATATAAAAGATCGGGTCACGTCAGGTAAATAGATACCAAACATGTCAAGCTTTAAAATTGCGCGCACCCGCGAAATGGCAGAAAACTACCATACCCAAAGTTGGCCATAGGCGACGCTTTAAAAGCTTTTACCGCTCATCAGTTTAGTGTTATCAGTGATTGATGGCCCTAGACTTATTGCTCTCACTCCGACATTCGCGGCGATATGTAACATGTGCGGCGTAATGGGCGCAATCGTCTTTTTTGCACGTATGCGTCCCCGACGCATGTTTGCATGCATGTATGTATGGGTGGGGACTTTAAATTTTTGTTTTTGTTTTTTTATTCTTTTTTATATGTATCTTTAAAAAAAAAATTGGGGGGGGGGAACTTACATTTTTTTTTTTCACTTAACTTTATTGCTATCGCATACGTCTGATCCCGGGCTCGCACCGGGCACAGCGGAGCCCGGTATCAGCGGGGGGGACCGCGGAGGGGGGGAACCGATCAGCACACCATACACGCGATGTATGGTAACCGGTATCGCTGCCTGTTTTTAAATACCGGCCATTTCCCGCCCGCAGGGCGGCGCGCACGAGAGGGCGTGTCTGAGCGGAAGTCTAAGGACGCCTCTCAGACCTAGGGACCTCTCGGCTGGCCGTTTTTTTACAACGGCCGGCCCTGAGGTGGTTAAAAACCTACTGCAGACTAAGGCACCAATGTTACTTCAAGAGTATCTATACTTACATATTTCATTTAACTTTTTTAGCCAAACCAGTTATGCAGAAGTTGGCTTTATACATGCACTGATGTCATATGGAAAGCTGTAGATGCTGTGTGTTGTGTTCAGCAAGCTTATTCTTCATGGCTTTCTGCTGTTCTATCGAATGCTGTCCACACATGAATCCATCACATTTATGCCATTGTTCTTTTTGGACACACATTGCTTTCCAGTGATTTGTCCATACCATTAGGTGAGGGAAGGATTTGAGAGAGAGAGAGGGGTTGATAGGTTTTTAGGATTTATGTTTTTGCTTAGAGGTTGGTTTGGATTTGTACAAGAATGCACAAAAATTATTCTGAGGCGATTTGCTCTTGTGGATCAGTCTATTTTAGAGCCATTAATCACTGATAACACTAAACTGATGAGCAGTAAAAGCATTTTAATCGTCGCCTATGGGAGTTTTTTGCGATTTTTGCGGGCGCACGCAGTTTTAAGGCTTGACATGTATGGTGTCTATTTACCTGAGGTGATTCCGACTTTTATGTTTTACTAAAAATATGGGTAAGAATAAATGTTTTATAACCTAACGTAGGGAAACTTTTTTTTTTTTACATTTATGGTATTTTTTTCATTATATAGTAAAAAAGAAAGCTCTATCTGTCCCCAAAAGTTTTTAACATAAATTGCAAGGCTATAGTTCGGTCATGCTGACTGGTGACATTTTTTACTGACTGGTGAGACACCGTCAAATTTTTCAAGCCCTGCGTATATGTATTGGGTCTTTCTGATGGTTGGACTCGTTACCTGCATAAAATCCCGTTTGAGCGTAATGTGTGTGAGTTGAGAAGTGGGCAAAGGTGTTCTGGAACTTATGGTGTAATTTACAGGTACAAATCATTAGAGGCACATTCATTCAGACAGCATGATCCATCCTCCAAGCACCTATCTTCTTCAGATCTGTGTATTTGTGGCTTGTGAAAAATCTTGCCCCCTCTTGGTTATCTCTATATTAATAGTGCAATGCTTTGTTGTACACCATTTTGTTCTTTAACTTTGTACAGTGAGATGGAAAGTGGATATGTTGTAATCATACCTAACCTCTACAAATGTAATTGCTTTCATAAAATGTTAGGTACTGTTGAACCTGTACTTGCCACATTCATCAGCTTTCTTATGCATGCCTATTATGTACTGTCAGCAAGAATGACCTTATGATGGTTGTACATATGGCAAATTTCAGGCCAATTCATCTACTTTGAACCAGGTTCTGATTGAATAATATGAGGCAACTCATCACCACCAATTTCTGTATAACTCAATAAAACAAAAAACGTTGGTGTTGGCAGTTTGTCCTGAACAATTTCATTTTTTTTTTTTACTGAAAGCTGTTTGAGAGTGACCTGTACACTGACATGCTGATTGTAGACATTATTGATTTGTGTACAGAGTATTGCTTGTTTCCATCCTCTTTTCTATAATGACTAAAAAGTGGGAGGAGAGAAAGGAAAGAGAATATCACACCAGAAAGATTGTCTGTCTTTATTTGTTAGTGGGCATTTTGCTTCCATGTCTACCATGCACAATTTGATATTGTCTAATATAAATATTAGTTCTCCCAGAAACATATTCTCATCTGACCCTAAATTAAAAGGATACACAAAACAAAATTAAATTGTATGGGGCTTTCTGAGATGAGAAGAAAAACCACAATAAGGTTGAGCCACTTTAAAAAGAATTGATAAAACGTTTATTGGCATAGAAAACACTAAAATATCTATAAAAGCAAGTCACAATTATTAGCTGAGGATTATCAAAGTCTTGAGGAGCAAGACTAATTAGTTGGCAGTTAGTTGCCTATCACAGTCACCACCACGGTGATCCTCTGGGATGTGTTCCAATGCAAAGAACTAAATTGCTTAAGTATCAAAGTTGGTAAATGCCAACATGGCAGCTAATGGGAGATGCAAGTTTTCTATTTTTAATAACATAAATATGATCATTAATAGAAAAGTTCTTGTTGCGCAGGCTTGTTATTTGTCCCGTGTGTGACGTTTTGCCAGATGATTGGTAGACACCACACATAAAAGAAGGCACAGGATATTGTCTGCAACTTTTGGTGGGAATCCCACGTGCGCTGCAGACAAGGAAATACATCTATGTCAGATTAGTGGGCTATGATCTTTCCACACAATTTGGAGCTGCGTAGTTACAATTTATCATGAATTTTGATGGTGCTGGCAATATTATGTTATGTAGTGTCAATCAATAAAGCCATATGGGGGAATTAGCTGGCTTTTTGGGAATGCTAATTTCCTGTCCTGTTAAGGTGAGCCTCCACTAGATTCAATTTATTGTTAAAAATGAGTCAACATACTATATGAAGATGACTCCATACTGACATGAATGTATTGCCTTTAGATATTTGAGGTGCACTTCTCCGGTTATCTACCTTTTCTTTGTGTCTGAGGGTTCTTTGTTGGGGTGGCAGCATCTCCTACTGGGTTTTAATAGAGGATTATTTTTCTAAATACTTGGATTGTAATATAATACCTACAAGTAAGTGAATATGGGTACAAATATACTATTGTAATCTCCATATGTGAATATGTTATATTAATAATGGTATTTGTGAACCATAGATTACAGGCAGTCCCTGGGTTACATACAAGATAGGAACTTTAGGTCTGTACTTAAGTTGAATTTTGTATATAAGTCGGAACAGGTAAATTTTTTAAGTGTAACTCCAGCCAAAAAAAATTTTTTAGTTTTGAATATCATAGGGAAGGGTCACGGTGGTATGGCTCCCAGCCTGCAATGAAGAGGAGGCAGGGGGGCAGGACAGCGAGTGGAGGATGGTCTGGACCAGTGAAGCCGATGGATCAGTGGAAGAGGAGGCCGGGACATCAACGGAGGTAAGGGGAGCAGCGGCGGAATGCAGCGATCTGTGTCCCCGCTGCCTCCGCCAATTAGACTTGTTGCAGCCACAGTTCTCCTAAATGTACCGGCGGCTGCCGGTACATTTAGGAGAACTGTGGACCCGGTTCGTAAGTACAGATTGTCCGGAAGTCAGACGTCCGTAACCCTGGGACTGCCTGTACTTCACTCACCTTCCGGATGAAGCGATGACGTGAAATGAAGGTGGAGGTGAAGGTGGAATTATTGAACACTGATGAAATCACTTTACAACATTTAGTAGTTGATACCATACGGGTTTGGTATAACTAGAGGCAACTAGTCTTGCTCCTCAAGACTTTGATAATCCTCTGCTAACAATCGTGACTTGCTTTTATGGGTGTTTATGGATATTTTAATGTTTGCTATGTCAATAAAAGTTTTGTAAATTCTTTTCAAAGTGGCTCAACCTTATTGTGGTTTTTCTTCTCATCTCAGAACGCCCCATACAATTTTGTTTTGTGTAAAAATGTGATATTGGATGAATTACAGTACATCACATCCTTCCTTTATATGGAAGTCAATATTTGCCTTGGAGCCATGGAGTCAGGAAGTCCAAATGTTACTCTCTTCCTTTTCTTCAATTTTTCAGCAGAAATAGAGATTTATATAGCCATAGATTTAACATTGGTGTGCCTTTTAGAAGATTCTTCATGTTACACTGTCACCTCATGATCTATCTGTGTTCCGCAGTCAACAGTAGTCATTGTAAGAAGGTTTCCACATGTGTCATGACAAAGGCAAAGACAGTCCCCAAGTGTTTCACATGTAAGACCCACATAGTGCCTCAAAGGCACTTCTGCTTGGTGTTCGGTTGGTGTTTCTTTGGGACTGATCCTTACTGGTGCTACACCACATCTATGATTTTCATACTTGTTCACAAAGCTTAACCCCTTCCTGCTGCAAGCACCCAATACTTGTAGTAGACAGGCAGAACAACGCTTAGACTGTAGTTTAAGATTACGGGGGACTGTTTTTTTTGTGGGGTTAATTAAGTGGTGATAAGAGGGGAGAAAACATGTTGTGCCATAATAACCCTATCAAATATTGTATCAACAATTATCTCCCAATTGTAAAGAAAGTACTGTCACATTTTTTGCAAATACATTGTATGGGGTCTGGAGCTGGGCCAGGGTGTAGGTAAGGAATGCCCCATGCAAAGCAATCTCTGGTAAGCCTTTGCATATGTCTCCGTAACCTTTCTTCAGCAAAGAATATTATTATTAATTATATTTTAGTCCCCTAAGTTGCTGAAAGGGTCTACAGCGCTGTAAGTGGGTTGGCATATACTAGACATCAGACACAGGTTATGGGTCAGTAGGAGCTCTATTTTGTTAAGCACATTAGTCAGCAGTGAAGGGGTTAACATGTCATGGTGAGACTGCCCTCACTTATATGTAATAATTTATCAAAGTGTCACTTCCCAGAGATGCAGAATTATTCAGCACGAGATTGGAAAGCACGCACAGTTGAGATGTTTATCCACAATTTTGTATAACAACTGCTTTTTTTTGCGTGTAATACATTTTTAACCAGACATCTATCCAACATCATAATTTATTCTGGATATCTATATATTTTTTGGCTTCTTAGGGTATAAGATGGGTGTGATAAGTGCTGACCATTGTGGATCTCTCTTCATTCTCAATGATTAGATCCGGCCAATGAAGAGATAATATTAGATAATTCTGCTCTATCAAATCTGACTGTAGAATTCAAGAGACACTTTGATAAATGGTATTTCATAACATGGATGAAGGGAGAAGGGGGAGTCCTGTGCAGAGGTTTGTGATGCTGTGCGTTCATGCATGCCTGGCCTTTCATGGCAGTCCCATTGCTCCCCTGTACCACTGCGTACAAGGTTTATGTCAAAAATATAAGTGTGATGTCATCCTGAGCGTAAACCAAGATCTGGCCTCTCCATATTTTCTCCCGAGTCCTTCCATAGCAAGCTCTGCACTCCGGGGACCCGTGCCCTGCAACGTCATCTCTCAGGATGACAGATGATGAAGTGTCAGAGTGTCTGGCATTAGAGCAACATAATCAACTCTCTGCCAAACCCAACATCCACAGACTGTTTACAGTGCAGTGGCTCACACGTATGTTTAGTGAGTCTTTGTGATATCATGTGTTTGTTCAAGCCTTGCCAGAGTACGATACAGGCACGAACGCAGCATTGTGCTGATCTTGGGGTTTGCTCAGTCTGACATTGACTTCCTTGGGTGTTTACTGTCCAAGTGTGACATCTACAAATCCAGCAGCTAACCCTGGGTTTTGCATGTTTAATTCAGTGGACATCTGTGTTGTTTTTCAGAGTGGAATGGGTTATGTCTTTGTTTATAGTGGATACAACATCATGAATTCATTTACAATTCAAGTGTGGAGATTTTCTTTCTTCAATACTTTTCCCATCTACTCATTGTGTATCATCCTAAACGCACTGCCCTGCCCTCCCTATACTTTCTGTATGTACTATCTTTGGTTTTTATATATTTCCCCAAGATAATATTTTTTCCTCCTTACAGACTGTGTATGTACCTGCTACGGTGTCCTGTTGCACATTATACACCCTTCACTACAAAATGCTTACCTACTCACACATTGCATCTCTTCTCATGTGTACTATCCTTTCCTTCTGACATAATATATATTTCCATTTTGTTATCCTTTATACATTTTACATGTTCATTTTATACAGGCCTGCCTTCCTAATTGCTATGAGTTTCTGCTCTTTACACACCTACACTCATTGCATCTCTTTATTAAATGGCACAAACCAGGGCATTCACATTAGGAGGTAGGGCCAAGACTGACTTTAGGGAAAATTGAGATTAGAATATCATTTCAGCTGCCTGTATCTCTGAATTTACTGATCATTTTGATGTGCGGCTTTGATTGAAGGTAACCTCTACTTGTGATTGTTTTTCATTGAATGTCAAATTCGAGTTGTCCAGGTTAGTTGTAGGGTTGCACAGATACCAAGTACAGTACTCGGTACAAGTACATGTACCAATACATTTGAGCTCCAAGACTACACTAGAGAGAAATTCAAAAGTTAGGAGGCAGCTGTCATTTGTAAGGAGCACACGGAGCTCCCGGGATTTGTACATCTCTGTTTTTAATGTACAATTTTGTTTTTATAAATATAAATAAAGGGATGCACAGATACCAGTTTTGCGAGTACGAGAACTGGTACTTGCAGAGTACTTACAAGTACTGATACATTTTTGTTTATTGTCATGTGACAGTTTTTCTAAAACAATACAGACTAATGATTTCAGGACAGTGGTGGAGCGCCAGAGCCAGGTCCCAGCTGCAACCCTGGTAGTTCTCATGAAAATGCCATGTATCGGCACTGGTACTCGAAAAGTATCTGTGCATCCCTAGTTAGTTGTGAGTTTAATTTAGGCTGTCTTCACACCTTTGTGTTAAAGTAACCTCAATGCACAGCGATGCATGTGATTACACACTAGAGAGGTGTGAAGGAAGCCTTAAAGGAGAATTATTGGGAGGGTAAAATATACTCTTCCCAATACTTAGAGCCAGCATATGACACTGCAGCTTTCACACACTGTCTCTATGGAGAGATGAGCGATCTTGTAGCTGCTGATCTTTTCCCTGCAGAGAGTAGTGACTGTGAGCCACTGCTCCCTGCAGGGATTCCCCCCCCCTTTCTCTGTTTTTCCAGCACTCATTGGAGGAACAGACAGACAGGGCAGAGGTTGGGCACAGTTGGCTCTGGCTCTCGAGAAGCAGAGCTAGCTGTCAATCAGGCAGTTGGAGTGAATCCCAAAAATATTGTCGGCATCTTTCCCAGCTGCAGCATGGCTTTGTGCTGTTAGCAGATAGCGGGCATTAGCCTGCAACATTCTGGATTTGAGTCACACGAATACATTAGTAAATGTCCTCCTGTAACCCAAAAGAGAAGTAAAGCCAAAAAAAAAATAAGATTTGGCTTTAGTTCTTTTAAATGTTCTGATCCCTTTACACACAGAATTGATTTCCTTGTTAAGTAAACGTATTCCTCTTGCACAACATACATCTTTCCATATACACTGCCATGCAATGACCTCCCTGCACACTGTATGACGTTCCATGTGCATGATCCCTTCCTCCTTACATGCCCAGTTTGAGATTTCTACAATTTGTCTCTTTTCATTTTGTGTGTCTACCTATTTCACAGCACTGCCATGTTTACAGATTGTATTGTATGTTCTCATGATATTTGTGTTTAAATTAAATCTGTTCCAAAGTACTGTAAGTGGCATCTCTGTACATTTCTTACCACGTACACATTGCACCACCAAATCTCCCTTGCACATTGTTCGTCTACTCAGTGTGTTTGTGATCTTGATTGTATGTATCTTCTATAATGTGCACTGCCTGCCTGTGCATTTTATCTTTCTTTGCTTACTGTTCTTTGAACAAAATAATGTTTGTTAGCAGCCCTGAAGAGAAGTTAATATACAGCTGTTTTTATCGGCAGCCAATGAGTTCCATCTGTCATGTTCCCAGCCCAGTCTGGAAAATATAGGTCAACACTTGATTGGCTGCAGGATATACAGCTCAATTTCTTATCCAAACTCATTTATCAAAGCATTTGGAACAAGACCCATGTTGCAGATAACTATCCTTCAGCATTTAGCTGTCATTTGCCAGTGTATATGTGAAATAGAGTTGAAGAACTGAGGAAAACATCGACTGTTCTTCATGTGGACACTTTGATGAATGAAGCCCCCCCC